GGTTCAGGGGCCTACCTTGTCCTCTCCCAGGAGCAGATGCACCCACGGCCGCTGCATTGCTGAGATTAGCTTCCTCCCCCTTGGTCCAGCAGCATTCCCACCATCCTCAAGTGGAAGAGTGTCCAGTAGCCCTCGGCTGCCATGGGTGGCGAGAGTAAGAATGTCCCCTCTCTCCATCTGGGGCCAAACTGGACAGAAAGGCCAGCCCCATTTCTTAGTGTTTTATACAAAGCTTGGGCGGGGGGGAAGAGGGGACATTTATTTATCACATAATTAGCCACTGCAATTGCAAAACCCTCAATGGTTTACAGTAATTATGAGCCAACCAGCATTAAAGTAAGCCAGCCATTGTAGGACTGAAACAGAAAATGTTTTAACTGTAGACAATATAAACTAAATTGAGTTGGATGTCCTGACATTCCCTCTGGACCCTGCGGGACAACTCGGTTTTCAGAAGCTGCTGGTAGGCCAGAGCGGTGGGGTCCACCTGATCTCCACGTGATGTCAGTTGTAAATCTGAAGGAGGAGGTGGGTCAAGGGAGATGACCTCCCAACTTCCACCAGATCTTCTCACTTTCACACTAGCAGTTACAGCTTCCGTGTGTGGTGGGGATTTGAACTTGGCCTTCCCATCTCCAAAGAAATCCCAGTGGCTGGTGTGGGTCTTCTGGGCTGTGTGGCTGTATTCCGGAAGTTTTGGTTCCTAATGTTTCTCCAGCATCTGTGATCGGCATCTTCACAGGGCAGGAGCACAGACAGGAGCAGTTCTCTCTGTGCCCAGGATGACGTGACCCTTTTGATCCCAGTGTTTATGAAATGCTTATTTTATTAGGGAGGAGCTGCCCAGAACCAGGAGTTGTTTTCCTTTCTTCCATGACCCTGACCAGAAACCACAGCCCTGGCTGCCCAGAGGCCCAGTTTCCTTAGCCAAGGGCCGAGACCCCAGCCCTCGCACCAGAAAACGTCCTGCAGCCTTGCCCGAGAGGCTCCAAATGGCCTGTTGCTTCCTCTGAAGTCTCTACCTCGCGAAGAGCGTGGACTTTTCTTCTGCTTTCAGCCTTCTTTTGCACCTGTGGGGTCAGCCCAGCTGCTTGACGGCTTCTCAGATGCGCTGGAGGGGGCGACGCATGTGCTGGTTGTTCCACAAACACGCCCCAACTTTGTTCTGGCCTTGTCTGGGCTGGGCTTCATGATCGCAGCGTGTCTTCCGATCTCGAAGCAGGTCTCCCACCACGGCCACAGACACGATTCTGGGAAGCTTGGTCAGAAAACCCAGGATTTTGGCTTCTGATCTTGCACAGAAATAGCAGGTGCCACATCTGTCCAGACACTGTTTGTATTCCTTAACGTGCTCCATGTGGGGGGCTCTGGCGTCAAAACTCCAGCCAAAGTCCAAAAAACCAGCCATCATTTTAACAGTCGTTTATAAGCTTATCTCAGCGTGGCATTGTTATTCCTAATTTTTTTCTACTACATTTCCTCTAGAACTTCAAAGGTGGCGATTTGGAGCTTGGGATATGCGAAATAAGGTGTTCCTTGAGCATGCACGGAGAGTCTGTGGCTCAGCTGCTCTGCTGGAATCCCATAGGCTTTGCATTTAGCTGTGGGGAGCTGGAAGTGGGAGGGGGCTGCTGGTTCCCTGGGAGGACAAGTTTCTAACGGAAAGAAGGGCCTGTCCTGGGGAGAGCCTATTTTAGAAATCACAGCTTTCTCCAGAGAGAAAGCTGGAACGGTGATGTCTCTTGAAGAAGACAAAGGTAAGGCCCCTGATTTCTGTGCTCCCCCATCCTGTTTGCCCATCAGCACCACTTAAAGGAGGAGTTTTGAATGGCTGCACTGAACTTGTTGATTCGTTTGTCTTTGATTTCTCCCAAAATTCCATTGGCTTTCCTGCGTTTTTGTTTTCTTCAGGGAGTCCGAAGAAATCCGCGGGTCTTTTAAAGTAATGATTTTACTTCAAGCCAAGCATTTCCAGGGGGATTGAGAAGTGGGGCTCTGGACCCTGGAATGGACCGCTTCGACCTCGGCTCCCTCCAGCGAGCGTTTGCTCCAGGCCTCCTCCTGGTTTGCAGGGCGCGATTGACCCAGGGAGAAGCCCTCCCACGATCAGGGAAGATGGTCTTCGGCACAGGAGGGGGGAGAGGCTGGAGGATGGTCATTTCCTGCCACTTGGGTCCTGAAGCCATTTTTGGGGGGAAAGAAAACAACTGCATGTGGTCTGGCGAGACTGCTGTGGACTGGATTTATTTATTTATTCACTTTAGGGGACTTGCATGGCCGCCTATCTCATCTAATAATCCTGGCCGGATCACAGCAATCGCTAGAGGGTCTCCTCACCCTCTTTTACTCCCCCATGTGGTTGTGAGGAATGTCGAGGGAGTAAGATGGGGATACCTGCTTCTGTGGGGGTTTTGGCTTTGCAGGACCTGCAGAATCAGACACATCCACCTTTATTACGGTCCCAGGCCAGCAGAAGCCAGGTGCGCAAAGGGAGCGCTAACCCCCCGCTAACCTCGTCCCTGTTGGCCACCAGGTACTTTAGTTAAGTCCCAGACCGGTGTCTCTCAACCTTGCTCACTTTAAGATGTGTGGACTTTGTGCTGGCTGGGGAATTCTGGGCGTTGACATCCACCCACCTCAAAGTTGCTGAGGTTGACGCACGGTGGTTTAGAACGTGGTGGTGGTGGAAGTCCCTAAAGCCCCCGTGACTTTTCTTCAAAGCGTCAAAGGCAGGGAAGCAGCGATCCTCTGGACCATCCTGCTGCGGGGCAGCGTAGATCAAAACACTCTAACCTGGTTCCCTCTAGGCGTGTGTGGTCATGATCCCCATCGTCCCAGGCCAAGCCATGGAGAGATCACCGGGGGAAAGGCCCTTATTCTTCTTGCCCTCAATGGATCCCTTGGGGATCAGTACCCTCATTCCAGGAAGAACCACGCCCGAGCTTGGAGGATGGCCCCAGTATTTGGAAGCATGTCCTGAAGATGTGGTTTGTTGGTTTGTTTGGCCAGTGACAATGCGTCAAGCTATTGGGCACAACGCATTGGCCTCACACGCTGCCCTTTGTAACTTGCCCTCTCAACAGATTCAGGTGCGCGGAAATCCCTGCCCTTTCCCCGTGGGCATGCACATAGATTTTAACCCTGGGGCCGCTTTCCCATCCTTTATACTCCCTCTTAATTAGGCCAGGAGGCGCCGATGCAATTCCAGAGACGCTGGGTGGGTGAACTAGCTGTGGCAAGGTCAATGCCAGGCAATAAGGAGCAGGTGAAGCAGCACACTTTGCGCCGAGCTCTCCCTGCTGGGGTGTGTGTGTGAAGCAAAGCCGGAGCAGGACTTGACAGCCCTCTATAATATTCTGCCACGTGCATATGACGGACATAAAGGCACGTCCACGCAGAGCAGATACAGATCTTCCTCCATCCCCATTCCAGGGCCTGCAGCGGATGGAGAAAGAACTGGGTTCGGGCATCGACTAGCTGGCACTTGCTTCCCAGAACGACTGAGGACTACTTAAGGATCGGTGCCTGGCTTCGCGTCCTTCCTCTGCCATCCCTTCCCACTCGGTCTTGGGTCTTTGAGATGCCGTGGGTCTTGTGCTAGCAGAGGCGGCCGGTTGGATGCAAAGGCTGAGCAAAATACTTTTGGCTTACCACGCTGTGTGCACCCAAGCCACTGTGGCTTGGAAACCCCGCTTGGTGGCTTTGTGTGGGCAAACCCAGCCAACTCTCGTGTTCCAGGAAACTAATCAAGCAAGTCCAGCAGCTGATCGCAGACCGAGACACTTTTTGACGGAAGGGCACAATCAGAGTGCTTTAAATGAAGGTGAGGGGTGTTCCTGATGCTTACCAAAGTGCTTCAACGCAACCTGGTGGGTTTGAAGAGCTCCAGGAGCAGGGCCCCAGGCTCGTGGGAGAGGGCTATCCGAAAGCTGAAACCCTGTGGGGAGACAGGGAATTGGAGCACTAAACCTTTGCCGTGAGAACATCGGAAAGTAATGCTACGGTCTGTTGGGAATGGTGGGCTGCTCTTTGAGATCTTAAAACTGGTGGGCCATCTCTGGCCCACAAGCACCTACAGCACCCCTGGGCCCAAATTCCAAACTCCCCCAAAGCCCCAAGATTGAGCTGCTGAAATACCATGGCAAAATGATTGACATTCGGAGCTTCGATATGTCCCTGGACGCCAAGGATGGAATTGGTTGCGGTAGGCCTCTGAAAACCAGA